GTCAGAGAATGGAGACGGATGGCAGGAGAGAGATCACTTGATCATTTCCTGTTAGGTCCACTCACTCTGGGGCACCTGGCATTGGCCACTGTCGGTAGACAGGATACTGGGCTAGATGGACCTTTGGTCTGACCCGGTACGGCCGTTCTTATGTTCCTCCTACTGCGCGAAGTACATCATGTTCTGTGCAATCTAGTGCACTAAATATGAGAAGTACCTCTCAAAGAAGGGCACTGGAAGCCCCTCAAAGCAGCCTGGTGTCCCAAGCATGCATCTCAAGCATAGTTGCTCTGGTGGTTTAATACCTTACCTAACAGTTCAGCTACTTCAGGAATTCTGGATCATGTTTCCTGAGATTAAGGATTGGGAGGGGGGAGGGGGACAAGGGGTGTTGGACTGACTAGGTAGGAGGAGGTTGATAAAAGGTCACATTGAGTTTTAAAAGTTAGCTGTAGTGTCAGATAGCTTGTGTTGAAGCCCATACAAACTTGGTCTCCAATCCTCAGCTGTCCTGCACCAATAGAAACGGATCTTAAATTAGTGAAGCTGGATCACAGTAGTGTAGGGGGATCATCCAGTGGTGTATAACTGAGGGGCAGGATGTGGGGCTCAGGCTTAACTACCAGTGCCTCAGAGAGTCAAAATTCTAAGGGTGAGGCGAGTTTCCAGTCCTTCTCATTCTGGAAATGCAAGTGGAAATTCAGTGCTGATGGAATCTTTAAAGAAATTATAATTATTACTACTTTAAATTATACAGTACCATAGATCAAATGTGCATTGTTTTTATTAGGAAAAAAGGAAAAACAGGAATCTGCCTGAAGAAGCCTTTTAAATGTGACCAAAATATGTGGGGTAAGATATAAATCTACACATATAATTTTGAGGATTTAGTTTAAATTATTGTTTTTAAAACCTGTCTCTCTTTCTCTGAATATTGTTAAGGCTGGTGCTGTTTTGTTTTCAAAACATTTTACATGATTTAATCTGCAGAGTTTTTCATATGCTGTTATTGATCACTACTGAATAATATAAACTGATGACATGAAAACATTTTTGCTTTATAATGCATATAAATCGATGTAGTACAACCGTTAGACTGCTTTGATTTGACAGCATATAATAGTTGTTAAAGTAGATCAATGAAACTTTCATTTACCTGACTACATTATACAAAATAAATTTTCTAACTCTTATCAAACAAACTTCTGCTTCCAGTGTTCATTCTGGTATAAATACAACACTGTACACAATTATAGTTCATACCAAGCTTTGAAGATTCCTTTTTATTCTCTTTAGTCTTATTTCTCTTCAGTGCTGTCACAAGAGCACAAACTTTATTCTATTTGTTCTTAAATTGTATTTATCTAAGACATCTTATAGGACTATGAAACAATTTAGAGGAGGAGATACACAGCAAAGGTTTCATGATGCAAAAAAGAAAACAGATTTTATAGTATGCAATGTTTTTTCCTCCTCCCACCCCCAAAAAAAGACTGAAATAAGCCTAATAAAAACAAGACATATTTAAGTACTGTATTTAAGTGAAAAAGAGATTTTAAATGGTGTTATAAGGTTCATAGTAGGCCTAAGTCATTGTCATTACTTTTCTGTTCATGACCTGAAAGAATAACCATTGGGTTCTCGTTATGTACACCAGAGAGAAATATTAAAAGCAAGCATTCAAGCCAGCAAAGCAGCATCAATAAAACTAGCAATATTATAAGGAGAAGCTATGTGCATTTTGTATTGCGTCTGTGATTACAATTGCTTCACCTGAGCAAAAGAGTACTTCAAATTTACTTTGAGTGTTCATAAACGTTCAGAATAATTTTAGGATTGAAAGAAAGATAACAAGGCAGTTGGATGCTGAGTTCTCTCTCTTTTTTTTTTTTTTGGTTTCTTATATAGTAATTCCACAGAGAACTGTCCAGGCCTTGAGAAGACTGAACCTTAACCTCTGTCCTGTTTCCACTGTAATTCTTTTTCAGTTGCTCATAGTGTACTTACAGTGCAGACTTTGTCATTTGCTAATAACTACACAATAGATCATGACAGCTCACCTAGAGACATTAAGCCTTTAAGACTGACACATATGCACACTGCAATCAAATTTTATTCTTTCTGGAGTCTACTCAGGAAGCTTTTAGCAGAAGTGTTTGTGGTACAAGACCAATATAACTTTTTGCATTAGTTTGTTACCAGTGTTTTTTAGAAGAAGAACATTGACAGTTTAGTTTATGGGTGACATTTCTAACTCTGCAAATTTTGATATTCACATCAAACACAGCATGTTAACTTTTTTAATCTACTGTACTTTTCCCTCACCAGGGTATAGTTCTTTACTTGGTCTTTTTAATTACATTTGTTATTAGTTATTACAATAGCACCCAGAGACTCCAGTCAAATTGGGGTCTCATTGTGTTAGGCATTGTAACCACAAAGTAAGAGGCAGTCCCTGTCCTAAACTTCTTATAATATAATTTAAGACAAGATGCAAACACAGATGTAACAAACGAACAGAGGGAGTAGGGGTGGGAGGATGAGGGTAACAGTGAGAGGAATGTGTTTTTACAAACAGTTTGAAAGTTTGAAATCAGATTTGTTTCTTTTTCTATATGAAACAAACCAGAGATATAACGATAATTCCTACTGGCCATCCAACCAGCTATCATCAGATGGAAATTTCCAGTAAGTATCACAGTAGAAGTGAGCCTAGAAGAAGGATTTACAGGAGGAGAGGGTAGTGACTTTCAGATTAATTCAGTGAGGATATTCCATAAAAAAGTTGGCAGGGAATAAAGCGTGAAGTTGCTTGTTGGAGAAACAGATTTTCAAGTGCAGAGCATGTTTCCGGATTATGTATTTGCAAGTAATAGCATTGTCCATCTAATCAACTGCGAATAGTATTATCTCTTGACTAACTAATGTTTTCCTGAAACATTACAATCCCCCAAACCAACCTTACACAGACAACCTTACACAGCTGACAATTCTCAAAGTTTTCTAGAATAAATATACACATTTGGAAATTGGGCAAATATCTCAGAAAATTTGCCCAGTAATGAAAGTTTAAATGAATACTGGATTATTCTGTGGAGAACATTATAAAATCATAGTTCTAGAGGCCTCAAAATATCTTCTATCGAGATCTCTGGCCCTCAGGCAATTTGGATTTCAATCTCTTCCCTAAGTGCTACCTTCTCAGTGGCTGCCTGATTACCACTGTTTTTGGGTTCATCCTCTTATAGGATCCTTTCCCAGAGAATCTCATTACAAATAACACTCTCTCAAGAAGGAGTTGAACGGAGAGAACTGGGCTGCCGGTCATTCTGGGAGGAGCAGAAACTAGTTCGGCAGACAACAGTCAGAGGGTTCTTTGAGGCCTGTTGAACAGAAAAAGGAGGAGACAAGCAGAGAGGATTAGGCTTGGGGAGACAGCTCGAGGTTTCTGTGTGGAGCAGCAAGATGGAGGCAGCAGCTTGGGAGCCAGCTGCACAATGAAGACCAGGTAACAGGCAGCCTAAGAGATGGAACTGAGTTTGGGTGAAGAGTCACAATCCAAGATGGGAAGCAGCCAGTGAGAGGAGACTAGTAGCAGAAGGACATTAAGAGCACCTGCCTACAAGAGGCATTAGCCTATTGTTCACCTGCACAATGTAAGACAATGTAGAGAGGCCCTCCAACAACACCATGACTATGGAACCGAGCTCTGGATAGCAGGACATGAAGACCAGTACTTAATTGCCCTTTTTAAGGAATTGTGGACTAAAAGGCGTACTCATGGTTACTCCAGTACTTCCTTCTTTTGGATTGTCCCCTACTGGCCTGGCTGAGTTAGGAATGTCTATGTCTATCTTCTGTTGTAGATGGTCAAGTCATTCTGCCTACGGTATTTGCAGTCTTTCAATTCTGCCAACCCTAGTAAAGACTCCTTTTGTTTGAGAGTGCACATTGGGAAATCACTGGGTAGTAGAGCCTATTGGGCCAGAGGCAGCTTGCTTTGGTGCTTGCTCCTAAGTTGAGGTATATCTGGTATACTACCAAGTACATGAAAGAAATGGGTGAATCACAGCACATCAATGACTCCAATAGGTGGGGCTAATTACACTATTTTAGTGGCTGGTCCTTTAAACCTGGACGTCAGAAGTAACTGCATCCCTTAGGGTGGCAATTGTGCCCTCCTTTTCAAGTTGGTATGTATTTTTAGCTCCTTATGTTTTCCTTGTCTTTTATACCTGAGGAGGCAGCACATCCTCATACCTGTCAAATGTCATTCAGTGGACACCACATTTAAAGAGATAAATGTCAATCATAATTTTTGATGAACTACGGGAAATATTGATGAGTATTAGAGCTGGATAATAAGTGTATAGTAGATTAATTTAGCCTTGAGAACAGCTTGAAATTCTGTCATTTATCTGTTATTTGAAATTATTTACTGAATAAATTTGGCACATACTTTTTGGTTTGCAGATTGTGTGCAAGCAATTCATTATGAGTATATTTGATATTTTCAATTCAGAGTGTGTTGATTGTTTTATTGACAGATAGGGAACAGAAATATATTATATGACCTAACTGGATGAGTGTTAGACTTCAAATAAGTTTTCAGTGTGAACATTTATGTCTACAAATTTAAAATTCACTTTCCATGAATAGCACCAATATTTGTTTAAAATTTAGTTTCCACAAATATTCTTAACAGTAAAGTCATTCACCTATATCTACGAAGAGTGAAAACAAAGAAGGCATAAACACAGCTGAAGTGAATTCACTGAAAAATTTCAATAAATAGTCACGGAATACTATTTGTGGTATTCACCCAGCTCTAAGCCATATAATCTCTCCTGCACTTGTATAACTGCAGAAATCCAAAGTATAAAATGTATGTTTCACTTTCTCAGACCTGAACTACATCTGCTTTGCGACCAACAAACTCTAGTCATTAAATATATTTGGCACACCTTATATTATTGTTCAATAGCAATCTCCATTGTGATGTGTTCTCTCAGACTGTTATAAAAATTATGGAAAAATCAGCTAATAAGATCAAGCTTATTTCTTTCATAGAGGAAACTACAAAATTAATGGAGCAATGTATTTCATTGAGACACATTATATAGAGATATCAATAGGCACTGATGAGTTTTCATGTAAAGAGCTGAACCCCACCCTCCAGAACACATAAAACCCCTCACCTCTCTTAATCACTTTCAGGTACAAATGTGAGTCTTTAGGACCACATACCTAGACCTTTCTTTCAAATGTCTGTGGTCCTTCTGGGCCAAAATCCCCTTGGAAATGATGGCACCATACAAAAATGATCAGGACTTCAGCAATTCTGCTCATTTTTGTTAGAAACCCACCCATTTGGAGCTACTCATTTTTTAAAGATGGTGTTCAGGCACATCATTAGATAAATAATAGACATTGATTTTAGACCCTGAGAATTTACAAAAAGAACTATATTCACAAAAGAATGGTAGTGCTGCCTGAATGAGCACATATGAGCATAAAACATGATGGAAATGTTAAAATTTCTCCGTATGCAGTGTAGTTTTAGCTATGTTGGTACCAGGATATTAGAGAGATAAGGTGGGGAAGGTAATATCTTTTATTGGACTCACTTCTGTTAGTGAGAGACAAGCTTTCAAGCCACTCGAAGTTCTTCTTCAGGTCTGAGAAAGGTACTCTGAGCTGTGATGCTTGGAGTACCTGTTCCAGACCTGAAGAAGAGCTCTCTGTGGCTCAAAAGCTTGTCTCTCTCACCAACAGAAGTTGGTCCAATAAAAGATATTACCTTCCCCACCTTGTCTCTCTAAAAATTCTCTGGGAAAGAAAAGCAGCAGACTGTACCAATGCCCTCTCCACAACCTGCAAATGTTCTCTCTGGGACATAAAGTGGGCCACTACAAGTTCCACCTCTGAATTTTTATTTACTTTCCATACAGTTCTTCCTGGAAAAAATAATATAGCCCCAAGTCATCAGAGATGCTGAGACTGATTTTGCTGTCACTTATTATGTGCCATTATAAATCTCAGTTGAAGACGATCTTGGTATGAATTAGAATTAGCAATCAAAATCAGGCCCACTGCGTGTCAAGGATCCAACAGCTGAATCAGATGCTATATTTAGTTGCTGAAAACCCTCATTCTCTAATTCTTTAAAAATTAGAGCAATGCACAGTAATCAGAATTTTGTCTCAAGGCACTGGATAGAACAAATAACTACAATTTTCAATTGCTTTTAGTTTGTTTTCAAATACCAAAAGACAACCTGCAAGATGCCACTTGGAAAAATAAAGGTCTTAAGATACAGGAAGAAATAATGTGAAACCTTTGAATTGTTTGTAATTGCCCCTTTTGTCTCTAAAAACATATAAACAAATTCTTATTTAAATTAAAGGAGATATCCCATCTCCTAGAACTGGAAGGGACCTTGAAAGGTCATCAAGTCCAGCCCCCTGCCTTCACTAGCAGGACCAAGTACTGATTTTGCCCCAGATCCCCAAGTGGCCCCCTCAAGGATTGAACTCACAACCCTGGGTTTAGCAGGCCAATGCTCAAACCACTGAGCTATCCCTCCCCCCTAAAATAAATGTACTTAATAGTTAAATATTAGAGTAAAATTTCAGTCTAGAGAAAATATCCATCAGAAACAGCTGAAAACAAGATTTTTATGGAAATGTTGAAAAAATAATTAGCTTCATGTGAAATGTGCCACTAACAGTGGAAGCTCTTTAGTAATATTAGCAAAATAATCCTCCTGGGGAAAACTCTTACTTGTTTTGTCTTTTCTTTGGTCAGATTGCTCCAAGACTAAAATAAACATGTACAGAAAAATAGTGCATGATATCTTGGTATTTTGGCATGATATCTGAGTAGGGTAAAATTTGGAGATGTGTTTTATATATTTTCAGAATACCTTGAGTGCCGGAAAATACTATGCTTAGATAAATATCAAAATATTATCCTTGATGTTGGAGTTGCAAAACCATATTCAGACCCAGAGCTGTGGTCGACCAATTCAGCAGCAGAGCTTCAGCGGAGTGAAGTAAATGAGAAAGTGCTGCGCTTGCCAATGAGTGCACTTCCCTTTCTGCCTGAAGACCTAGTGGCATTTGAGTGTTCATTTAGAACTGTCTCCTATTGAATATGCCTGGGGAAAGAGGATGGGGACAGAAAAGAACAATGGGCCTGTGACAAAGTGGGAGGCGCCTAAGGCTGACTCACCACTCTATACTCTGTAAGCTGCCCTGCATGGGCCAAATTGGGGAGCTAACTGAACACGGACTGGGTGATTAACCAGTTAACGAGGGGATTCAGCTAGTCAGCTAGGGACGGTTAAAAGGGAGACAGGAAGGGAAAGGAGGAAGCTGGAAGGAAGGGCAAAGAAGCCCAATATCTCAGAGTGGTGAGATCTCTTCCCCTCATCGTCTGCCTAGAAAGTAAGGAGAAGTTTTAGATAAATATGTTGATGTTAGACTGCTTTACTCTCCTTCACTACACTCTCCATCTCTGTCCTGACCTAAACAGCTTTTAGTGCAACAAGATTTTACAAGAAAGGCAAACTCGTAGCTTTATGTATAGTCACAGTTCATTGTGCCTGGTTTCTTCCATAGATCTCTGTTTGAAAACCAAGTACAGACACTGAATCACTATGCTTAGTTACAGTTTTTAATTGATGTGCAGTGTAAAAACACTGTTACATAATTATTTAATTAAAATTAGAATGCACAAAACTAAAATGTTCACCTAGTCACAAACTGTTACTCTTGCCTTGTTCAAGTTGAATAACAACAACAACATAACAAAGTAAATAGAATTTAGGGCTATTCTTTTTGGCTGTTTAGAGTGATGAATCCAGGGGTGGCTTTGGGGGGAATTTTTTTAGTTCCTGAACAACAAATATGAAGTCTTATGTTTAACTGGATATCAGATACAAATCCACACAATAAGATGTCATACAAATGGTTGAAAACCTGTTTGCTTTTTTATTGAGTTGGTTGGTTTTTGTATAGCATGTGTGATCTAACCAGTTGTGTGCATCTTTATGTCTATGTAGTGCCAGTAGCAGACATGAGCCTTCCCTACCATTCATCTGACACAATAGCAGTGAGGGAACCAGGATTGCTCACAGCCTGCCTCGGGCTAAAATTTGGAAAATGGGGCTCAGCAGGTAAATCACTTATCATTTAAATGATATATTTCCTTTTGATGTGTTGTATTTGGCCTCAGATCCTGCAATTGGACCCACTAAGTTGGCCCCTTGTGTCTGTGAGAAACCCAACTGAAGTTTATGGGGCTCCACACAGATGCAGAGGTTCAACCACATGTTTTTTTTTAATCACAGCCCTACATCCTACAACTCCCTGACATTGACAGTTCTCCTCCATTCCACTCTGTACACATGGTTAAGGCTGCGAGTTTATCATGGGGGTCACTGATTCTGTGACTTTCTGGGACTGCTGTGATTTCTGAAATGGCTGGTGTGGCTGGCCGGGGGGCTGTCTGAGCAGTTCGAGCGGCCCCCGGGCCAGCCGCACCAGCCACAGCTGGGGCAGTCTCAGGCCACTGCCCCCCACCACAGCAGCAGGAGTTTGGGTGTGAGAGGGAGCTCAGGGCTGGGGGTTGGGGCACAGAAGGGGGTGAGGGCTCTGGGTGGCGCTTACCTCAGGGGGGCTCCCCGGAAGCAGCGACATCCCTCAGCTCCTGGTGGAGGTGTGGCCAGGCAGCTCTGCGCACTGCCTCCATCTGAGGGCATCGCTTCCACAGCTCCCATTGGCCATGGTTCTCAGCCAATGGAAGCTGTGGAGCCGGTGCTTGAGGCGGAGGCAGCACACAGAGCTGCCTGGCCATGTCTCTGCCGAGGAGCTGAGCGAGGGGGATGTCGCTGCTTCCTGGGAGGAGTGAAGCCAGGTAGGGACCCTCGCCAACTGTCCCCCTGCAGCACCAGTGGTGGTCCCAGGCTGCGCACCGCCGCATGCCACCACGCGCCCCCTCACAGCATCAGTGGGGGCTCAGGACCGTGCACCACCACCTCCCCCCCCAGCACCTCCTGGGCTGCTCCCTCCCCAGTACCCACTGCGCCCCCCCGGGTTTCTCCCCTCCCATCCCAATGGGAGCTGGGAGAAGTGGCGCAGGCAGCGCCCGTTAGCCGGGAATGTCGAACTGCGGCAACTGGGAGCTGCGGGTGGCCGTGCCTGCAGACGGTCGGTCAATGTAAACAAACTGTCTCGCAGCCCGCCAGTGGATTACCCTGACAGGCCGCAGGTTGCCAACCACTGCTATAGATGGTATTTGATTCCAGTTAAGATACATAATATTTTTGCTACTGGGGAGGTACTCAGGGTTGCAAGAAAAGGGAACATATTTACATAGGGTGGTTGTGTTCGGAATTAGTTGGTTTGGGGAGGAAATTATTAAAGAGATTCATTTTATGCCTAAATGCTGGCTTTCTAGAGATCCCCTGACCTTCTTACTAAATGCTCCAGTAAAGGATCTACATTTAAAATGGAACAAATTAATTTATTTTTTTACTGTTAGCAACTAGACTCTGTATTGCACATTATTGGAAAAATTCGACTCCTCCTTCTGTAGTATAATAAAATATGGACTGTCCTTGTAATGGGCAAACTTTCACACCAAATACACAAGAGAAGCAACAAAAAGAAGACAAGTATTTAGAAATCTGGTCATCCTTTTTTAGCATACCCAGAGAACCAGGGCTCCCCAGCCAGCAAACCAGAATCTTTAGCCAGATGCTTTGAATATTACGTTGATCCCGAATAAATAATGTACGATTTGGTATGTTAACATTTTATTATAACTGTCTTAATAAAAAGTTAATAAAGAACAAAACCAAAACCTAGACAAATATAAGCTAATATTTGGTAATATATGCAGGAGGTAGTCGAGTGGCTAAACACTGAAATAGCATGAGTTTCATAGACACCCTGCCTACATTATAACCTTTATTAGCATGGTTGTTAGCAATTAACTTATTTTAACCTACAGTATTGCATGTGAATAGCATAAAACTTTGAAATTAATAACTTAGTAAGTGATTGAACAGATAATATGCCAAGAGGCTTACTACAGGAACAAGACATTGTAGTTGGAGATAGCAGTTTGGTTCAGATTTGTGAGAATGGTGTAATAATACTCCATGCAGTACTTTATTTGTGAGAATGGTGTAATAATACTCCATGCAGTACTTTATTATTATTATTATTTTTTAAGACAAAACTAGCCATGGAATTTTGCACTACAAATAAAACAACTTACTCAAGAGTATGGAGCATGAAGTGGTTCTAAATTTCTTCCATAGTAAAACCTGTTAATTGTGCAACAATAACTCCAAACTTCACTGCTTTGCTAGAGATAATTTCTCTTGTCTGTCAAATTGACTAACTGGTTAATAATTTTCTTTTTATTCTCTCCTAAACCAAAAAGCAATAATGGGTAAGAATGAACTTTACTGGTGAGGAGAACCCAGAACGGAATTAAAATAGTGAATTTAAAATTACCATGTTGAAAAGAAAAGAAAATTTTTTTGCAATCTATTAATGTAGTCAAAAGACTATTACAAAACTTTACAATTTAATTATTGGAAGATTACAGAACTGCTTCAGTGCTTTTGTACTGTGTTAAATAAGCTGTACATGCAAGGAGTAATAAATGAAATTGTTAATTTTACTGCATCCCTAGGGAATAGCAGTGGGGGTTACATTATTTAGAGCTCCAAATGGATCTGGGTTTATATGCAGTAATAAATCCTAACTACATTGTTAATTAACCCTGCCTCAAGCCCCATTTTGCCTTAGGGTTGAAAGACACAGTGATTAGTAGGATAACTCACCATTCATATTCTTAAAGATGTTTAGGATGGGGAGGATTTGACGATAATAGGGCACCAAGGCTTCCCCCACCATGTCAGCTGATACTACCAGGTGCTGGAGGACTTTGAGTGTGATGCAGATGACCTGTCGGTTACGAAGGTTCAGTGCATCTGTGATGTAGAAAGAAAGACAAGCAGAAAGCAGAAGAATTAATTTTTAGAATGTAAAAGGGAGGGAGAGAAGTCCTCTAATGGACAAATTTAATTAAAGTATACTCTGTTGGGGATTGTAAGTGGGCCTTTATTAGCCCAGCTCTGAAAGGTCCCAGAGATGGATTGTGGCCTCGACATTATAAAACACTGCCTTGTCTGATTGTTATTTGTTCCCACAACTTGTGCTGACTCCTCACTAACCCCAAGAATGCAGCTCATTATTCTCTCATGCTGCCTGTGTTACTAGTCTGGTCCAAATAAATAATGAAATAAATAAATAAATAAAAAGAAATCCTCAGTAAGTACCATTGGGGCCAATGGAACTGCAAGACAATCTATGAAGGTTGACAACAGACACATTCTAGTGCAACAATTAGCCTGTTTGTGAGTTTGCACCCATTTGCTTAGCTATCATTTTATTCATTTCCATTAACAATTTGTGCTATTCTGAGATCTAGTACAATGAGGCAAATGTTTGTAGGGAGGGGGGAAAAAAACCTGTAGGCTTCTTTTAAAAGACACACATTCTGATACGAAAAAAGAAAGCTTCTGTCTTGCCTACTTGAGATTTTTTAGTAGTTGCAGCTGAATTTTCTCTTTGCTTTCTGTCTTATGACATTTCATAAATACCTTTTGTCTCAGTTCCTTCTTGGTTTTAATAATAGAAAAGAAATTAGTTTGCTTTTCCTTTTTAATTTCAAAATGACATATTTGAAAAATATTTATTGTTTTTGCAAAATTCCTCCTGTTATACTGCTTATTCCCAAAATTCCACATTTTGGGAGCAACTGCCACATATAATAGTATAAAGTGAATGGGTCTGATTCTCCTCTGGTCTGCATGTTATGTAAATGTTTACACCTGTGCAAAGCCAATATAAAATGATAGCTTTTTTTTTCTTCCAAGAAATAAGACCAATATTTTTAAACAAAATATTTATTTCTGAAATAAGCTTGAAAAATAATTTATGACACCACCTTTCATGATACAGATGTCAGTTAGATAAAACTACCATAACTGATATATTGTCTGTATACACTGTCAAGTGTTCATGAACTGCAGATCACACATTAATTGTAAATATTTGGAAAAAGAAATCAAAGTTAGTTACTAGTAATAGTTGTTTTTCTAGAGCTGCCTCTGTGCATTCACACTAATGGCATTTAATATCTCTGGCATTGAGCTATGGAACTATATACAAAAGCCACATCCACTGTGGAATGCAGTAGTGCTCTCATGGTAAGATGACATCATCGACACTGTCTATAGAATACAGTGCACACCTCAGCCTACTTCAGTTCTTTCTCCCTAGCCTGAGGAGTGCTGAAACACAAAGAACGCCTAGGCAGAGGAGAAGGTGGTTGGGTAGTGTGAATGCACAGAAACAACTCTTGAAGACCACCACTTATCAGTAAGTAACCTATATTTGTTCTTTTAGGGCCTCTGTGCATTCCCACTAATGGGAGATTAGCAAACAGTGCCCCCATCAGAGTATGATGGGCAAGGAGTTCTAGGAAAAAATGGATTATAGCACTGCTCTATCAAATTGAGCACCAGTACACAATGCCAAGTCCAATGACTAGTGCTTAATGAAAACACGTACTGAACTCCATGTTGCTGCTTTGCAAAGCTCTATCACGAGACTCCCTTGGTGAGCGTGAGATCTGAGAAAGACAATGGCAAGGGACACAGATTGTGACAGGTAAAAATCTGAGATAACTTTAGGCATAAAACTAGGGTGAGGTCCCATGACAACTTTCTCTCTGTGTACTACCACGTAGGATGGAATGGCCATCCAGGCACTGAGCTCACTAAACCTCCTTGCAGAGGAGATTAAAAGCTCTGTTGTGATAGACAGATGTTCCAAGGATGTCTGGGTCGGTGGCTCATAGGGAGGACACATAAGCATAGTAAGTACTAGATTCAAGTCCTAGGTATGAGAACATTCTCTCATGGGGAAAGGCATTAGTCCCTTCAGAAAACATGAAACTGTGGGGTGAGATAATATAGGATTATCCCTGACCAAGTTATGATAAGCCAATTTAGCTGCCAAATGACCCTTGAGGGAAGTTACTGCTAACCCCTGTGATTTCAAGTACAATAGATATTCTAAAATTGCAGGTATACGCTCTTGTAATGGTATTAACTCTTTAGTCGTTGCGGAAAAGCACAAACTTTTGAGCTTCAGAGATCTTCCTCAGGTCAGGAGAAAAGTAACCAGAGTGTCTGAGCTAAATATGAGGTGGATCACATTGTGAAGCATAAGGATTTCACACACAATGTAAGGGACCACTTGAAATGAAGTGGGCAATTAAGGGTTAGCAGGCAGTAGATTATGTTACAAATTGTTGTAATGAACCAGTGCCTCTATTAAGTCCATGGTTTTTAATGTCCAGTGGAATTATGAATTTAAGCTCCCAGGCTCATCTTTTGAATGTGTTGCATGGGTTTCCTTTGAGGACAAGAACTGAGAGATCAGATATTTAGTTATCCCTACCTGAGTAAAAGTGAGGCTGTCATTGGTTCAGGGACCATTAGTGCGGATCATACAACCTCCTGCTGAGTGCTTCTGCCTATACGTTCTCTTCCCTTGATTGGTGTACTGCTTTACAGTAAATATGATGGTGGATAAACCATAGCAACAGTATCCTTGCCACCATACACAGGAGTGTGTTCCTCCCTGCTTGTGGATCTAATATATGGCCACGGTATTGTCTGTAAGTACCTGTACCATTTGATGTTGTGTGGAAGGCCGTTAGGACTTCTCTCACCACTCTGAGTTCCAGGACACTGATGTGGAGTTTGGACTCCAAAATGTTCCATTGTCCAAGTACACAGAGGTCCTGGCAATCAGCACCCCAACTGAGGCTAGAGGCATCTGTGGTGATTGTAATAGTAGGTGATAGAAGACTGAACAACAGCCCCTCAGTACATTGTCTCTGAACCTGCACAAGGGTAGCTGTTGAAGCACTCCTTTTAGGCTGTGTACAATGAGTCTGTAATGACATGCAACCTAAACTTAGAGGGGCCTCATTCTTAGGCAAGGAAAGGTTATCATGTAAATTGATGAGGGCATGAGATCCATAAGCTTTAGGGAAAAGTGTGTTTGCACAGGTTGATCCCTGCAAGTTTGCAGAAAGTCTCTTATTTTCAGAAATCTATCTTTCAGGAGGAAGGCCCTCACCTGAGTTGAGTCCAGGACCAACCTGATAAAGGTGATTCTCTGTGTAGGCTCACGTGAGAACTTCTCCCAATTGATGAGCTCTAGAGACTGCAGAAGGTTTCACATGTATTAAGCTCCAGAAGAAAGACTGTTAGCAAGCTGGCCTTTAGTAGCCAAATTATCCTGGTAAGGGTACATGTGTCTGTGATGTGTGCAACTACTGAAAGGCATTCTGCAACTACACCCAGTGCTGTGGCCAGACCAAACAGGAGTACATGAAATTGGAAGTGATTTTCTCCCACACAAAATCAAAGGTACTTGATGTGGGTGAGTTTTATTACTACATGAAAGCAAATGTCCTACAGGTTAAGTGGTTCACACCAATTCCCCTTGAACAGGAATGGGATGAAGTCCCACAGTGTTAGCATCCTGAACTTGAAAGTCTTTATGTACCTGTTGAAGTTTCTGAGGTCCAGAACGGGCCTTAGGCAGTCCCCCTTCTTAGATTTTAGGAAACATCTGGAGTAAAACCCTTTCCTTTGCTATTGGTCCTCTACAGCACCCTTTTGAAGAAGGGAGCTTATGTCCACCAATAGGAGTTTTTCACAAGAGGTGTCCCCAAAGGAGGTTTGGGGGTGAGAGAGTGGAGGAGGCCTGTATGAAACTGGATTATATAGTCATTTTTTATGGTCTCCAATACCCAACAATCCAAATAATCTAGCACCAGGCATTGAAAAAGGATGAGGTCTGACCTGTCAAGGGAGAGGGGTATGGCTCTTGAGCATCCATCAGAAGTGATGTTTGGAACCTTATGACAACATGCAATGTGGGATTTCTGGACTGTGTTTTTTCTACAGGAGCCATTTTAAAAGAAGCTGAAGACTAGTATCACCACTGAAGTTAGGTACTCTGTTGGTATTGAATGGGGGAAGGGGACTGTTTCTGAAATTGAAAGTTTGTACAATCTGACTTTCTTTTAGCAGTAGATGCAGACTGGGAAAGTCCCACAGACCAGGCTATAATTCTTAATCTTAATCTGTTCCCTAGTATTTTACCTAAAGAGCACAGAGCAGTTGCAAAGAACTTGCTGAGGGGAGGACATTAGCCAAGTGTGCTCTGAGGGCAGTTTACAACCCCTCAGATACAACTACAAGATCTATGGCCACTGGCACAGCTCTGAGGAGATACTTATGACTCCAAACATTAGGCTTTGCTCCAGCCTCTCAGAAAGTAATAGAAGATTTTCCCTTTAAGGCCCCCAGACTCTTTAATGCAGGGAAAACACTCAGCATCCAGTGCCAGGATTATTGGCAGCTGCGTTAATGCTGATGCCCAAGTCAGTGCTGAACAGGGTTTGGCAGCATCCAAAAGAGCCTTCATGGACTCCTAAATGAAGGGCGACATGATTAATTGATGAGGATCCTTCCTAATATCTTTCTGTCCTGACGGAGTCTTTTTTGAAGGAAGGCGACGGGGCTCCTTTGAGTGGACCAGGAGAACTTGCATGGCTGGTTGTGAGAGGAACCCATGTTCCTCCAGAATGTTTTGAATTGAAGTAAGTGGAAAATGCTATTGTGTGATCAAGCAGTGGGGGCAAAGCTAATAGCTCTGATGGGTTTCCACAAAAAAGAGAAATAAAGGCACTGGAGGGACACACACCAGTGATGTGTCTACAAAACTGGAGTCTCAGATGGAGGAGTGTGAGCCAAAGCTGGCATTGGCATCTGTAAGGAGTCCTCGAAGAAACCATGCCAGTGAACAGAGAACAATGCCTCCTCTCTTCTTCTTCTCCTAG